TTAATTATAAAGAAAACTACTTTTTTTTTTGTCCATTATTTTGGGAGCAACATGTTTTACTTTCCACCAGATCCGAGATTCAAGACTTATTTTTAGAAGTAGGTAAAATTCAAAACCTCGTTTTCCATTTCCTCGACTTGGAGATGGAAAACCCTGTTTTCCATTTTCTGTGCTTTGAACTCAACGTTGCGTTTTTTACGTTTAAGAAAACGCTAAGAAGACTGTTTTAAGGTGATTTTTTTTAAAAATTTTCGGCCACTACATGTTTTGGTATAGTATTTTATAATATTAGCGCGAAAATTATGTAAAAAACAAAGATACAGAGAGTCAGATTTTTAATAGTCTGTTTAGTGATACTTCTAATTTTTCAGCCTACTAATCTCCCTTTATTATTAATTAAATCTTTTTAATTTCCAAAAAATTAAAATTAAAATTTGAAGAAATTAAATAAAAGGTAAAAAAATTAATTTAGTGTGGCTGGAAACGTTTTCCCGAGGTTTTAGCGGGGATTTCAGATTTTCGAGGTGGAGTGGTGAACGAAAAAGTTTGAATGCAACCGGTGTGATAGTTAGTTGGGCGCTCGAGAAGCGTGCCGTTTGATTTCAAGGGTAGGCGGCGCCTGATCAGGGCTGCTGACGTCACGGGTTGCGTTTGGTTTGTTGGTTCAATCTGGGTTGGTAGGTGCTCTTTGACAAAAGTTTGGGTGGTCATCCCAACATTAAAATTAGTTATTATGATTTGGGGCCCAGCTCGGTGTGGGCCCAGCTCAGTCCATAATTCCGAGTTTCAGGTCAAGCTGGGAATTAAGTTAGCAATGAATTGCGTTTTGATTTAGCGTTTTAATTTTCAGGAAAACTAATGAAAATAGCTTGAAACCTTTGAGTTTTAATCAAAATGACAAAAAAGTGTTGTAAGTGAATAGTACCAAGAGTGACTTTTTAAAATAAAATTGTTCTTTTTCGTTAAAATGAATGGTACAGGAAGTGTTTCGTTAAAACTCTCTTTAATTTTCGTTTATGGTTGTGCCAATTCACTTTTGATTAACACACAAAACGATGTGAAATAGTAACGTAATACTACATATACTCACCTGTACTTTAATTTTTTTATTTGGACATACCAACTAGATTCGACGTGTGTTATTTTGTACACCTCGTTTCTTATATTCGTACAAGTTTCGAGTAGTGTATGGTGCTGCCGAATTACAAACCGGCTGGGGTATCATTATGTTTGGACAGCCGGATCAGCTGTTTAAGGTTCCGATATTCTCGATGCTTATAGTGGTGTATTGTGTGTAGTTATTTGTTTGTTATTGTGTCCGGCCTATTTGGTTGTGCGCGGTGAATAGGGATAGCTTTTGCTTTTTGTAAAAGCACTTATGAGCGGCAGGTGGAAGCATTGGCTTATCACCATTTTTATGTTTTAGAAATTGTGATGAAGATTTACATTCCACAAATGCATCATCTGAAGCTTATTCAAATTTTTATGTACCTCCTAATTCACAGTACTTAAACAGTTAAATCGGTATCTAGAGAAGATTATGCATAATTTACGATATTGACAGTAAAAAAAACACTCTTGTTGTGTTCTGTTTCAAAGGGACTGCGTACAATACATGCTTATCAGTGATTTATTGCAAATCCGATGTTCGTAGACTCGGTTTTGATAGAAACTTCGCATCATTTCTGTATGATAGCTATTTTGGCATAGTTCGATAAATGCTAGTTCGTTAATTATACGCTAGCTGACTTCCGTACAATATAAACAACTGTTTTTTGGATCAGTTGACAAGCTATTGTTTATCAGTTATCCATCAGATGAACATAGATTTTTGCTAGTGAACTCATTTGATTATAGAATGCATTATTTTTAACGATTTGATTACCTTCTGCTTTTACTGCAGGTTCACAAGAAGCGCAGCTCAATTCAGTAAACGAGGAAATATGCTCTAATCATGATGAGTGCGAGGCACGTCGTACCCAGATCAAATTGACTAAAGGTTTCTCAGCAAAGGAGTCGGTGAAAGGGCATATGGTGAGTTATTTCCTCAATCTAATGTCACTCTGTAAGATAGAAGTCAAAGAGTTGATATGCTGTATATTCTGGTAAAGAAAATCAGGTAGCTATTACTGACTAGCAGATGACCGAACTGGCAGGTGAATGTCGTGAAGGGGCTGAAGCTATATGAGGACATATTCACTGACAATGAGCTCTGCAAATTGACTGACCTCGTAAATGATCTCCACGCGGCTGGAATTAATGGAGAGCTCTCAGGTAAAGGAACCCTTGTTTGTGAAACTCATCCTGGGTTGTATCTTATTTTGGTCTCATATATTGTTCTATTACGTCGTTTTGTGTAATGGAGATAATTGTAGTAATTCATTTGTTCTTTAAAAAATTGGCTTCCGAAGTTTGAATGCGAAACTTTCCATGTAGGTTTATTGAGGCTAACTCGTTTTTTTTAACATAGGAAAGGCTACTATAAGTTATCTTCTTGATTGAATACAGGCGAGACCTTCATTCTGTTCAACAAGCAGGTTAAGGGAAACAGGAGAGAGCTTATTCAGTTTGGCGTTCCAATTTTCGGGCAGATCAAGGAGGATACTACAAGTAATAACCGAAACTAGTAATGCATACTTCAACTATTTTGGACAGGGTCTTATTATCAGTGATGCATTCTATGCATTGCATACTAAATACCGAAGCTAACTTTAATTTGTTTTCTTGTGTTTATAGGCAATATGGTGCCGATTCCAGCTCTTCTCGAAGATGTGATTGATCACTTTGTACTATGGCAGCTAATTCCAGAGTATAAACGACCGAATGGTTGCATGATCAACTTCTTTGAGGAGGTATTCTATGTTTTGCTTGATGCATTGTCATGATACAGCCTCTGTTATTGTTTACTAGAACATAGCTGCAAAGAGGGCGCTTCACGGCATTGGTTTGTGTTATAAGTCTTTGTTTATGCACTTTCTTTTTAATTTAAGGGAGAAACGGTTTTAATTGCAATCATTTATTTTGTAGGGAGAGTATTCACAGCCATTCCTGAAACCACCCCATTTGGACCAGCCCATCGCCACTCTTCTCCTCTCTGAATCAGCAATGGCTTTCGGGCGCACCCTTCTGAGTGATAATGATGGGAACTACAAGGGGCCGCTGATGCTATCACTGAAACAAGGGTATGTACTCTTAGTTCTTTCAGTTTCACTTACTTTTCACGGTTCATGGTGATTGAAAACCGCAAACGTGGAATTTTTAACTTCTGCAGGTCCCTTTTAGTCATGAGGGGAAACAGCGCTGACATGTCACGACACGTGATGTGTCCATCTCCAAACAGAAGGGTGAGCATCACATTCTTCAGAGTCCGAGTACACTCCAACCAGTTCCAGTCGCCCCAAAGTCCAACAAACAATGGTGCCATGACTCTATGGCAACCCGGGATGGTAAGCCCATACACGATGCCAGATGGAGCAGCTCCCAATGGTTATGAGGCAATGGATGTGATGCCCAAATGGGGTGTCCTTCGTGCTCCAGTAGTCATGCTAGCCCCCGTTCGTCCTATGGCATTGAGCCCTCGAAAAGTCCCTCAAAGTGGTACAGGGGTTTTCTTGCCCTGGACCATGGGATCAAGAAAACCAGCAAAGCATCTCCCACCTCGCGCCCAAAAGGGACGGCTTATGGCATTCCCTTCCCCTGCAGAGTCCACTTCTGAGCCCGGCATCAGTGTCTAATGGAAGAACGAAGATCCGAAGTTAGTCAGAGGCAGCCCTGGGTCCAAAAACGATATGAATCAGCATAGCGTTCACGTTCGCATTTGTGTTCTACGCCAGTCTTTTCTTGATGTACAAACAGAACCTAGGTGCCGTTAGAAGAGTCGGTTTTTTTCTTTTTTTTCGATTTGTTTTCACTTCTTTTGTCTCAGTAAGATTAAGGTTGTAGGGGTGATTACAATACTTTTTTCTTGGATGGTGTACGGCCTTCATAGTTAGTAAGAGTATCAAGTTTGTGGGGTGTGAATTTTAGCTCAAGTAAAAGGAGCTGAATTTTGTATTATGTTAAAGTTTTTCATAGGCAGGTTGAATTATTTTGTACTACGTTTTCAGTTTACGAAGAACGGAGCGATACGTAGTGATAATTTTTTTTAAACAAGCGATATATAGGTGAAGTGGATACAAACACATGACTTTCGGTGACAGGATTAATGCCCTAAACCACTCAAGTTTTTAAGTCTCGTGCGAATTCAGAGCCATTACATTGAAACCAAAACGTGAGACTTTCCTTTACAGTTACTGCACCAAGGAGTCAACAGAAGAAGGGGGGTTAGGCATATAAAGCTACAAGCATATGCAAATGCAAGAGACTTTCTTTTGGATGAGAGGGAACGGCATCTAATTCACATTCAAAACATGAAAACCGCGCTTCATAAATAGATTTAGCACGTGATTCGGAGTGTCTATGGTTCGGGAAACCTCCTGATCTTCTACGGACGTGTTTGTCTTTGGTTGATGATGTTTGTCGGAGAACTTCTGATTAGAGCATCTCTCACACCGGGTGGAACAAGAGTGAGCAGGTGAGACCTACACACAAGAAGTCTCATTCTTTTGATTTGTCGGAGAACTTCTGATTAGAGCATCTCTCACATTGGATGAAACATGAGTGAAGGTGCGGTTGAAACACAAGAAGTCTTGTGCTTTTGGTTGATGTTTGTCGGAGAACTTCTAATTAGAGCATCTCTCATACCGGGTGGAACAAGAGTGAGGAGGGGGGACCGAAACACAAACACAGGAAGTCTCATGCTTTTGGTTGATGATACTGGTTAAGAGGACTTCTGATTAGAGTATCTCTCATACCGGGTGAAACAAGAGTGAGGAGGTGGCACCGAAACACAAAAAGTCTCACGTTTCAGCGCTATGACCGACGTAGTTAGACACTCCTACCCCGAGTTATTATCCAACATCATCTTAAGATTTTGCTAAGTAATGGTAAAAATCCACAAATTAATGAAATTGACTTCTTTTATAGACAAGGCTGGCTGATTTAACATCACAAATTACAGATATAAAGGAATCTATTTGCATTTAAAACCAAACTGATAAAATAACAGGGCTTTTTTTTAAAAGAATCCCCCTTTACATATATCAGACTTCCCAAGAACAAATTGGGGGAGTACATAATAAATTCGTGCACTAAATTTAAAGAACCAAGAACTTTCCAATTTACTTGCTACTCAAGCTTGAGCTGGTACATCATCATCATCCTCAATATCCCAGCTTAAATCTTCTTCTTCTTCAGCAGCAGCAGTACTGAGCCGCTTTCGGAGCTCGGCTTTGTTAGCAGGACTTCCACTTCCACCACCATGGCCAACTTCTTTATCATCAATGCTGCTAAGATCCTCAATCTCATCCCATCCAAGGTCTTCTTCCTCCGGCGTAAAGGACTTGATTGAAACCGCCGGAACATCATTGCCTTTGCCGGATTCAGCAGCCCCATTCTTCTTCCCTTCCACTACCGCTTTCTCCTCCAATTTTGATGGCACGTCTTTCTTCGCGGAATCCCTTTCTACCTGCATTTTCTTTTCGGACTCCTTACCACCACTCAACTCCACATCATTACCCTTCTTCTCAACAATTTGAGATTCCCCAACAGAGCTACTCTCTTCCTTAACAACCTTCTGCTCAGAAACTTTGCTGACCAGTTCGCTATTCGCAGCTAAATCATCCTTCTTCGACGCCACATTTGCTTCTTCAACAACACTGCCTTTACCGGCAGCTACATTCTTCTTCCCTTCCACTGCCCCTTTCTCCTCCAATTTCGATGGCAAATCTTTCTTCTCAGAATCCCCTTCTACTTGCATTTTCTTTTCAGACCCCTTATCACCACTCAACTCCACATCATTACCCTTCTTCTCAACAATTTGAGATTCCCCAACGGAGCTACTCTCTTCCTTAACAACCTTCTGCTCAGAACCTTTGCTGACCAATTCACTATTCGCAGCTAAATCATCCTTCTTCGACGCCACATTCGCCTCTTCAACGACACAGCTCCCCTCTCCCACATTATTGGAACTCTTCTCTCCAACCTCATTCCCAACCTTCAAGTCCTCAACTATCCCATCTTTGCCAGAACTTTCAGCAGCCACTTGAGTACTTTTCGCCGAATTCGCTTTCAACACCACATTGTTCACATTGTCATCATACTCATCATCATCAACATCCCAACTCAAGTCCTCATCCTCCTCGATCGAAATCGCCCGCTTAACGAGATTCACTCTCGCATCCTCAGCCTGCCTCAGCTTATAAACCCTATAAAAGTACCTACACCAAAAGCTTTCGTGATCAACGCTGTTCGGAACAACGCTTTTGTAAATCCCCTCCATAGCTCCGTTTTCTTCTAAAAGCCTCTCGATTTCTTCACCTTTCTCCTCCAAATCAAACCCAGATTGCCATTTTCCGTAATCATCCAAATCCTCAGGCTCCTCACAGTAAGTGCTAGCGTCACCCTGAATCGCACGCACCTGAGCGTCAAACCTACTGTACCGTTTCGAATTCAAGCTCTGCTGAGAGCTAAAGCCTTGGTCTTTGGCGTCGGAGGAATCCGATTCGTCGCCGGCGAGGATCTGGGCCGTCCCTTGCAGCACTGTGTTCCCGAACTCATCGATGACGTGTCCCACCGTTTCCAACGACCCCTGAGCCACCTCGATCTCTTTCTTCAGACCCAACCCGAATTCTTGCAGGTCGCGGCGGTAGGTCTCGATCACCGACTCGGATCTGGTCGATAGGGTTTTGATCAGATCGCCGAACATCCACCCGCCGGTGTTGCCGGTCGGGTTGGGACTGGGTTGTGTCCGTGGGGACTTCGGATCTGCGTGTTCCTGTTCTGGGTTGTTGTGAGACCCGGTTTCGGATTCGGATTCGGGGTTTGGGGGATCTGGGTCGTCGGAGAACACGGATTTGAAGAAATTCATGGAGGAAAAAATGGGAAAGCAGAGGGATTGGGATTTACCAGAAAATTTGGAAGAGGGGGAGAGAGAGGGGTTGGAGAGTAGAGTGAGAAACTGGAAATTTAGGGACGTTAACGTGCACTCTACGTGTAGTTCGCATCAGTGAGGGGGGTGGTCAATGTCTAGCTTGGTGTTTGGGCTTTAACTATGGATATGAGCCCAAAATAAAGTATGGATTATTGGCCCAATACTTTGTTAAAGACCCAACATTGAGCAAGACCCACGTGTCAAGCAGGGACGAACATCAAAAGTTGTGATCCGTCCGATTAAAACGGAAAGGGATCATCTTCGAATCCTTTCCTCCTAATCTACCAAGTTCGGGGATCTAGGTCATTGAAATTTGATCCAACAGCTAAAGTTATTATATCTTTTAAAGTGGGCTCCTGTTTGTAGTTGTTGGATTAAATTTCAATGGCCTGGATTCCCGAACTTGGTGGATTAGGAGGAAGGGACCCAGAAAGGATCATTTTCCGATTAAAACGGTCATCGTCCAATAGATTATGGGTATTGTTTTTCACTTGTAAATGAGTTGTGTTAGATTCGATTCTTGTCAAAGATGAATTTGGATGAAAGTATTATGGCAAGGTGTGGCTTAGCCAAGTCCCCTACCTCCTTTGTGTAAACACATCACTGTATTAAAAAAAATTAAAAATTAAAACAATATTTAAAAGTAATTCTATGAATAACATGCTAATCGAAACTCACATCGACATGAAGGTTTGACAACTCCATGTCGGATCTTTCCCATATGGGGTTGTAATATGTTCCCGGGTTGGGTTATTCGACTGTTAAAGTAGTATCGTCTAGTACAATGAATGGTCTACCGAGAGACTCCTCCAATATGTTTGTGGGTTATGGGAGATATCATAGAGTTCAATTTCATCCTCGACCCATGATCAATATGAGCTTGAAGTTTTCTTGGTAACGCTCGAAATTTTTTATAGTGGCTCCGCCCATGCCTCATTTCATTTATATGATTCCTAAAAATTATACAAGACGTTCTATAGATGTTCAGGCATGCACTTCGTTTTGGCTAAGTTTTGGGCTCTAAAGTTCAATGTCGAATACTACGGCGGAGTATTGTAAGTGTTTACCCTAGTATTTGCCGGTGCATATGGGATTCCGGTGACTTTCATTCAAGTTGAGTTGATTCTTTCAAGTTCCCGATTACTCCAGCCGATCGTGAAAGAACAAAAACTCATCCTGAAGTGTGTAAAAATCAAGAGGGGTTGCTGTTTTGGAATAAAAGTGATTCCAAGCAAAGTAATATTCTAGCTCTCTCCAAATGCATGGTATCATATGAATTTCCCTATGATATTCTTGCAAGTTGCTTTTGCTTCCTACCAAAGTCCTATCAAAGGAATTTAACATATGATCTTATCTTCCCCAAATTGGAGCTAACAGAATACTTGAAACAGAACCGAGCGCAATGACGTTTTAAAACTCATACAGTCGAACCTCGCTTAGTGAGACAAAGCTTGTCTTAATCTTCGCCCTTTGGGTTGGGATTACAAGACAAAACTAGTATTAATTCCTCCATCAGAGTTTTAATATTCTTTCTTTCCTACTTTTCATTACCATATTTCCAAGCATGGAATCACATATCCAAATGACTTTGCAGTTTGTTCAGTGCACGTAAATAATCTTCATCCCCAACACTCCATTTAAACCTTCATCCCCAGCCTCTATCGGAGCTCGTCTTTAGTTCTATCTTCTCATTCGAAACTGGGCAATGCAGGAGAAGCTCAACCGCACCGAGCCTACTGGCATTTGCCACAGGATCTTCACCTTCATTGTGAATACCCTGGTCGGTAGACTCCTTGTTAAGCAAGTAACGTTAGGCCATCCGATGCCTGATCAAGACGAACAGCCTATGATTCCAGCTGCTAACCCTAATGGGGTTGAGACAATGGACCTTCATGAGGCTCGCCAGACGCCGGAGAAGGATTCTGGTCTTCAGATTCAAGTTCACTACAAGCAAACCGATGATGGCTTTGAATCGTGGACGCATATTGACAAGTTAGGTGATCCAGTGAAGGCCAATGTTTCCGAACACAAAGGCAACCTGAAGAAGGTTTTGAGCATTAAGGATGTACCGAAACCAGATAAAGAGAAAAGTAGTATGAAGAAAGGAAAGGGTGTAATGGGTAGCGAAAAGTTGACACTAGCAATGGAGATAGAAGATGATGATAAAGGATCGAAGTTTGCGTTAAGGCGGCGCGTAAGGCCACTTTTTCACATTGCTCTAAACATAAACGAAAAATCAGAAGCGTTTATTCAGAGCAGAAAGGAAGCTATGAGGAGGAACTATGGCATTGAGCCGAGGAAGTCTTAGCCCGAGAAATATGTCATGTGGCGGTTGGCGCGGTGGCTCGTCGGGGTTACAAGTTTGCAATTACTGAGATTATTAGGCAGTCGCAAAGAGCTTCCTAAAGGTTGGAATGGCTATTGTCAAAACCATGTACTACACTGGTTATTATGCACTTTAGCTTTTCAAAGTAGTTCTATACATGTAAATTAAGAAGAAGAAAAAAAAAAGTAAACTTATATATGAAAAAAGCAGCATTTGCAATTAAAGTTTTTATTAAAAGTTTGGCGAAGAGCAAAATAGGATGACAAATTGGGAGAATAATGTGGATTATACATATAACTCATTACTTTCTCAATTAGGAGAAATTGTTGTGTATAGCATGACATGTTTGACTTGATATATGTCTTTTTTTTTAACAAACGATAGACTAATTGCAATAATTTTATCTAAATTATGAAGAAGAGGATTCAAAGTTAAGCACAGAGGGTGAAGTACATTGCTATAACAAACTCAGCTAAACTCATGTTTGCATGACATGTTAATTTGATTAATTAGTTTTGTCAATTTGGTCGTCCACTCAAATGATAACTGTAGACATCGAAATTTCGGTAAATAAATGTTGACCGATAAATCAAAGTGTCAACGCTCATGTATTGCATAAATTTTACACGTAGCATGTGACTCAACGAAAATTGAAATGAGTTGGAAAAGTCATCAAATAAGACACGTGTCAACACCTGGCAGAAACGACTTATTTCATCCGGGATATTATATTCAAAATTAGGCCTTGGAAAATTCTATAAATATAAGCCCATTTCATTCATTTAAGGGGAATTCATATTACACCTTGAAGCTCTGAAGCTCTGAAACTCCGAAGCTCTCAAGCATCCAGGTTCCCGAAGAATCAAGAAAGTGTTCTTTGTTCTTCGTTCATCGTTCTTCCAAGATCAAGCCCCGACGGCCCTTGGATCAACAATCATCCACCTTCAAGATCAAGCCCCGACGGCCTTTGAAGAAAGCACCATCGTTCATCATCCGTTCATCCAAGATCAAGCCTCAACGGCCCTTTGGATCAACAACGTCGACAAATCCATACGTCCAACCGTTCTTCAAGATCAAGCCCAAAAGCCCTTGAAGATCCGTTCATCACTGTTCTTCAAGATCAAGCCCAAAAGCCTTTGGAGATCCGTTCATCACTGTTCTTCAAAGATCAAGCCCAAAAGCCCATTTGAAGATCCGCTCAAATCCACCTTCAAGATCAAGTCCACGGCCCTTGAAGAACGTTCTTCAAGATCAAGCCCAAAAGCCCCTTGAAGATCCGTTCATCACTGTTCTTCAAAATCAAGCCCAAAAGCCCTTGGAGATCCGTTCATCACTGTTCTTCAAAGATCAAGCCCAAAAGCCCCTTTGAAGATCCGCTCAAATCCACCTTCAAGATCAAGTCCGCGGCCCTTGAAGAACGTTCATCCTTAGATCAAGCCCAACGGCCCTTTGGATCAATCACACATCCACAAATACACACCTTACGGAGATTGAATCAGAGGATCAAAATAGAGAGAGATTGTAACCCAAAATCATCAAATACAAATATTTGTTTGTGCACGTCGTTTCTTGTCTCTTTCGTTTCAGGAATTTTCCGTGTTCACAAATTGGCACGCCCAGTGGGACAATCTCTACCTCTCATCTCTTTCTCCGTTCAAGAAATTCGAGCACACTTCCAAAATTAATGGCTTCAAGGAAGGCTCAAACTGTTCCCGCAACTGGCGCAAAGAACAAGAGCGCCCTCGTCGCAAGAGGTGTCACTTTAGGCATCACGACTCGAAGCATGGCAAGAGCTACTTCTGCCGCCTCTTCCACCTCTGCATCAACTCTGTCAAGGGAACAAAAGCACCCAAGGCACGAGCCTTTGATCACCTTAGCCTCACTAAGGGCACCAAGGGGGGAAAGCCCAAGGAAATACTCCGAATCCATGCTCTCCGATGCCGATTCAAGCGACAGTTCAGCCATGCAAGTCATGACCATTGGAGCAACTTCAATCGATGAGCAGCTGGCTCAAATGAATGAAGCAATCGCAAGGCTAACCCGAACTGTGGAAGAAAAAGACTTGCAAATTGCAGCACTAGTCAACCGACTGGAGGCGCAGGACGGCGATAAACCCGACCCAGATGATGATCCACTAAAGGGAGGAGCTGGCGGAGACGAAGAACCCCCGGTGAAGAAAATCGATGGGAAGCCGGAGCCAGACCAAGCAGCGGCACTCATGGGATCTCTTTCTATCCAGCAGCTGCAGGAGATGATCACCAACACCATCAAGGCACAGTATGAAGGGAGCTCACATACCTCCTTGTTCTACTCGAAGCCCTATTCCAAGAAGATTGATGCCCTAAGGATGCCAAAGGGTTATCAACCACCAAAGTTCATGCAGTTTGATGGAAAAGGAAACCCAAAGCAGCACGTTGCACATTTCGTCGAAACTTGCAACAACGCGGGGACGGAGGGAGACTACCTTGCCAAGCAGTTTGTGCGCTCGCTGAAAGGAAATGCCTTTGAGTGGTACACGGACCTAGAGCCTGAGTCCATCAACAGCTGGGAGCAATTAGAGCGGGAATTCCTCAACCGTTTCTACAGCACCCGCCGCACTGTGAGCATGCTAGAGCTAACGAGCACAAAGCAGTGGAAGGACGAGCTAGTCATTGACTACATCAACAGGTGGCGCATTCTAAGCCTCAACTGTAAAGACAGGCTCTCGGAAACCTCTTCAATCGAGATGTGCATCCAAGGCA